ATAACACATCAAAATCAGTACACGGAGAAAACAATTTGAACAAGATAAGAAACTGCGTAACATATGCTCATGCGGACTCATGACTTGCAATGCACACTATGATCGGGCTTCGCGATGTAACTAGTTGATGGTGATGGTTTGGGGTTCATGTGGAGGGGAGGATTCTAGTTGAGCTTTCCACAAGAATTTGAGGCATCTCTGAGAGGTGGATGGTTGACGAATATGAATATGAATATACTCACGATCACATGCATAATGACTTGTCATTAACTTAAGTAGACGATGCGTACGCCTTCCCAATTATATAACTTAGCCGAGTTCTGTACGTACATTCCAAGTTTTCCTTGCGATATTTTTCTTCCTTTGTTTGTTAGCAATCAAACAAAACTAGTTCCTTGGTTTTGTGAATAATTTTAATTAAGTAATGGGATGTTGCGTAAGTATAAGGACAATCTCCTCGATGGATTTCATAAATGTTCCTTTTAACGTTGACAACCTTTGCAGGTTGATTTAATTAGTGTCTTCATCATGTTTGTTAAGCATGGGAAATATCCTTTAAACCCTCTCCTAATCATCCACATCTACATAATAACATACTGTATATATTTGTCATCTTATCAGCTAACAGTTTCTAGACGACTCCCTTCGATGAATGGTCAACTCATATATTTCCTTTTCAGATATGGATGCAAATATATATTGACCTTATCAGGGTGTTAGCAATAGTTGTTAATTAGCCCATGCCTCTTGCATATGCTTCCAAGTGGTCCCGGATTCAAGTTCCCGTTTTACCACTTTATTATTATGTGATCAATTGGGGCCTATTGCTTGACTAAATGCATAATAAGTAGGAAAATATAGACGCAAGTATGCATGTGGAACTCTGGTATGAACTGTAACATTCATATGTGGAGACGGAAGTTATTTTGGATGACAAAAGAAGCAAAAAGAAAAAGAGTGGCCATCCATAGAGTTGATTGCCTAACATAATGAGTGGTCCAATACAAAGAACTAGCTAGCTAGTCTATGTTCTAAGGATATAAAGTTTCCGGGTAAACTGACAAAACTTATGAGAAGGGAAACGAAAGGATACAAATTCATGATGTAAACTTACTCCCAGTTTATACTACTGTCCTGCCCAACTTTGACATAGGTTAGGTCGATCCCTATAGATGGATCGATGTGGTTCATGAAAAATTAGGTGTTTGTCAAAAATCCTTATAGTCATAGATGTGATCGCTTGATTATGCACCGTTGATAAAGGTGTGCCTCTCAAATAAAATTGTTACAAGACTGCATATACATATATGTATATTTATCCTGGGCAGTACATGTTCATACGGACTGGGCTGCATGGGCATGTGGGCAAGATTCTTTTAGGAAGGCAATGCCAGCATATCAGCTGTAACTGTAAGTCATGTTGACGTTGTACATAATCCGACAAGGGACTTTTTGGAAGGCAATGCGACCGTATGACATATATATAAAGTTTTCTTCGTCCTCACACACACATGTCGACAAACCTCATGAGAAAAATACCTTAATATCTATATCTATCTATCTTTCTGCAGAAATCTGAAGGCTTACGGAATAAATTTTGAGGACGTAGATAGATGCCTTATTCACGCAAACGGGTGTTTAGGGGTTTCGAATCTAAGATCCACTGATCTTTTAGGTCAAACATACTTTTTTCACTATTGTATGGTCTAGATTCAACAGATTATTAAAATACGTATGTATGAGGATAAGATATAATATATTTGATATCGATCCATATACTCTTTTTTTTTCTAGAGACTAGCTAGCTAGAGTTTGTATGCCAATTAACCAAGATGATTTGCAGCCCCTAATTTAATCTGCACATCCAAATCCACCCTGCATAGTTCGAATCGCCGGCCCTATAATAATTATTTTCACGTGAGTATTTGACAGTTTGTCACTTGTTGGTTTGGCCACTTTGATCTCACTGTGTCACGGTCAAGAAAAGTGTTTGGTTTATGGTATTAAAGCAGGCAAGCTAAAAGTGGGATAAGTGGAAGAAAGAGATTGTTGCAGTTATAATTTTCTAGTTTCAATGAAATGAAGCTAGCCTAGCAAGTGCATAAAGACTTGCTATAGTAGTCCAAGTCCTCCTTAATTTATTAAACAAACTTGAATACATATTACTAGGCCCTCGCTCTAATTAACAACACAGGACAGGATAGGACATGACAGGACAGGACATCTTTAAATACATACAGTACTGCTGAGTACCCTAGCTAACTGGCCTTGTTTAATAATCTGGTGACCAGATAACCTAGATGAACACAATTTAACTATATAAATTCATCATCAAAACACAATTATATATAAATATATAATTAAGGGTCTGATGATCATGATGTAGCTGATCATCTACTGCGTAATCAAGCTCCTAATTATGGCGGCCTCCGGGCTATCAGCATCAATTGTCGAGAGTAGTTGGGAGAGTCGCTCACTTAGGTCGTCAACCTCTCTGTGTAAGTTTCTGATGTAGCTGCAAGTCTCTTGTAGGACCTTAGATGCTGATACCTGCAGAGCTTGCACGACATTATATCAATCAAAAGTCAGATCTCAATTAGCGCCACAACTACTGGCTTTCTAATATTTCTACGACAAACTTTTCACAAATTATTACGAACTCTCAATCATCTACTTGAACCATATGATACATATAGCTTAATAAATTCTACACCTTCTACATATAAATACGACCACACATGCCACATGACATGTGATGAGGTTTAGTGGTAAACGGTCCAACTCCAACTCCAACCATGACATTGTTTAGTATATTTTGGTCAATGAGAAACCTATATATAATTATATATATTTGATATATGCATATATTGTCTAGGTCCTATGGAAAATGTAACAAGTCCTTGATGTCCGGGTCAAGTTTAGACTACTCGAACAGTCCAAATTGACTACAATATTACAAAGTGCATGTGGTGCACTTACCATGATATACCCTAAAGTTATTATTATTTCTTCCCCACAGTTTCCATCTACCTTCACTTGGGTTGTTAGAAACCTTTAAGCCCAACTATATATGATAATATATATATTTATATATTTATATATATGAAACTGTGAATCGCATTCTAGAAAAGGCATGCACTTCTCATAATTACTCACTCATTTATTGAATTCTAAAAGATATATGATATACGAGAGAAAGAGTAGTTTAGTTACCTTGTCGGAGCGCCTATCACGAATCTCAGGAACCAGTTGGCGTAATTTGGAGACAAGTTCAATGATTTGGTCATCTTTGATCGTTGGAGTTCCAGACTGCCTCGACCTTCTGCTAGACATGATCTCTAGCTATATATCTAGACTGTTAGCTACAGCTGGTTTTATATATATATAGAGAGAGAGAGAGATCGATGATCAGCCTGGCTACGGGGGCTTTATATATTAATTAATATTAATATATATATATATATCTAGCTGGGGAAGGAGAAATATTAACCTAAAAGAGGTACGTGGGCACGTACGTAAGAGCCAATTTGTGAGGAAAAAGTACTCCAGAGGAGGAAAAGGAAGGAGAAGGAGTAGATCAAAAGGAGGAGAAGAAGAAGAAGAAGAAGAAGAAGAAGAAGAGGAGCTAGTAGCAGAAAGACCAAGTACTACAAGTCCTATATATATATATAAATAAGATATATGAATTTATAACCCCAGACAGCGAAAAGAGAGATGTAAAGAGAGCAAGGACCACAAGGGAAAACGAGCAGAGAGAGAAGGCGTACAATAACTTAGACAGCGATGTTGGATGTGAAGAAGACAATTGCGTTGGAGAAAGTAGTGTACTAGACCTGGTATTTTAAGCCACAGAGAGAGAGAGAGAGAGAGAGAGAGAGAGAGAGAGAGAGAGAGAGAGAGCATAGACTTGTTGTGTGTGTGCTCCCAAGTTGGGGTTTGATTTCAAGTGGGCTTGGAGAAATGTGTTTGTTTTTGAGCCAACAATGTGGGGCCTTCATGTACATGTCGCAATACGCAACACCATGTGATCATCATAGGATACTGATCCTCCTCTACTTCATAAACTATGTCACTGAATTTTATTCACCAATGGGCTCTTGCCACGTTCACCCCCTTTGAATTTTCAGCCACAACTCCTATGTTTCAGGGCAGTCACCAGAGAAAACAGAGGAGACGCATCAGGTACTTCTTCTTCTTCTACTACTTGGCATGCTGTGGTTCCCTTTAACACAAGCTGGACCTATATATTCTACTTAATTCCCAAGAAAATCGTATCAAATTCTCATATGCATTATGCAAGTGTACTCAGTTTATCTCTACTGTTATAAAACTATACCAAAAACAGTAAGGATCACAGACTTCACCCAAAAAATATAGAATTAACGAAGTAAATCTTTACTTTATGTATCTTCCTTCTCATGTCACTTGCACATAGTCGTTTAAGACACAAATAACTGAGTGCATAGCATAGCATATTAGCATTAAGCATACGACCTGGATTAATTGTAAAAGGCTCAAAGCCTCCAGGGGGTGGTCACATGGCATTTCCTGCCACACACGACATGCCACGTAACATGCCATAAACATGAGTACATACACGAGAGGGTGTTGGTGTAGGAGGTGTTCCTAAAACAGGCATA